CATGTTTCTGCAGCCCTGGCCTACAAAGGGTGATAGATAGGTCTTCAATCCCAAGTGGGATTTACCCAACAGTCACTTCATGAAAACAAACAGTGCCTTCTGCCCTCCACCCAGGCATCTCTAGTTTCCAAGCTGGCAATCCCCAAGGACTCTGGAAGCCCCTCAGTTTGTCCTCTGGCTAAAGACCCCCCTTTCTGGTGTCTCCTGTGTCCTCACTGGGGTTTTTACAGAGGGGGCTGTCTCCAGACAGCTCCACCAGGAACCAAGCAAAGGCCAGACAGCCTGGCAGGCAGGATAGTGGTATTGTGTATATGGGTGGGACGTGTGTGTCATTGTTATTTGAATTGTGCTGTTCTTTAGGGGAAAATAACATAAATAATAATAATAATAATAAAGGAGCTGATGTTCTTAGCCTCGTGTGCTTCTTTTGGTTGAGGAATTAAATGCTACACCATGCATATTTTCAGTATTAATCGGGAATGCTCATGGCTGCAAATAACAATGCCCAAAAAACAGTGGTTTAAATGACATAAACATCTATTGTCTAACTTCACAAGAAGTGTACATATAAGTGATCTCACGATTATTTTTTCAGTTGTTATGCCACCAAAAACCCGCAGTATTCCCATCTTTTTCCTCTGCCATCTCTGACAAGTCTACCGAGTCTATCCTCATGTTTGCAAGATGGCTGCAGCAGCTCCGAGCATCTCATCGCATCTTCCTGTGACAATGTACAGGAAGAGAAGGCAGGGGTAAAAGGGTCCTCTCATCAGTCCCTTTTATCAGTTCAAGATCTCTGATGGGAGCTCTCAGCAGACCAGTTTTATCTCATTGACCCAAACTGGGTCCTATGTGTATCCTGAAGCCAATCCCTGGCAAAAGGGACAGAGATGGCTGTGATAGGCTTAGGTCAATATTGACTTGTCCTCTGAGGCCAGGAACACTGCTGCCTGAACAAAACAAGATTCTGTTAGGAAGGAGGAAAGGGGCATAGCAGCTGTGAGGGCAGTCAACAGACCGACGCTGCCAGGGGCACAGAACCGTGTCCAGGGCTCAGGAAGCCCAACTCAAACTGATTTAAAGAGGGGTATTTACTGGTACACATGGCTGAGAAGTCCAGGATGAAAGTTCCTCTCAGGCTTCCAATGATGTCAGCAGAACTCAGTTTCTCTCCATCTCTTGGTCCTGAGGTGTTGGCTCCATTCCCAGTCTCCCCGTTGTCCCCTGCCTCCCCTGTTCTTCGCCCCCCCCATGTCCCCATGTCCTCTCATGTGGTCACAAGAAGACTACAATCTCTACAGCCCACATCCTTCCACATTCCAGTCCCCAGCGGGGAAAAGCCAGTGTCTTCCCATAGTTTTGGCCATATACCCAGGGTCATTCTTATTAGCCCAGCTTGGGCATCACATGACCGCCTTTAAGCTACAGCCCACGAAATCAGTACTTGGATTGGCCAGGCCTGGGTCACAGGCTCCACCCCTGGGGACAATTCCATTTAATCCCACATCACCTTAGGAAGTAGATACTAATTTTACAATAAAGAAGCTGAGGCTGAGAGACAAGAGGCGGCTTCGGTAAGTCACGCGGAGACAGCAGAACTCGAACCTAGATGTTGGCTTTTGGAAGAGTTCATGAGGAGCTGCTGGCTGCTTGTCAAGAGCACCCCCAAAGTCAGCAGGAGTCAGCGAGTGTTTCCTGAGCACCTGCTCTGCCGGGTCCTGGGCTGAGAGCCAAAGCTATAGCGACCAATGAGCCACAATCCCTGCCTGCTAGAGGCTCACAGGCCAGAGGCAGGCCGATAAGAGAACGCCAGGGCCCCCCAAATCCTTACTATGTGCCAGACACTGTGCTAAGAGCTTTATGTCTGTAATAGACTCGATGACCCCGCCACTCTATGAGGCTGGGTCAACTCTTATCTCTATTTTACAGATAAGGAAACAGACGAGGGAGGGTTGAGTTTACTGTCCCCAGTCACAGGCCTGGTAAGCCACAGGCCCAGGCAGGCTGACCCCAGGATCTTCATTATTAACTCTTCATTGCCCAGTCTGCCTTTCTCCCAACAAAGCAAATGTAAACATGCCTCCGAGAGTCCATCCAACGTGGGGGACCAGAAGAGAGGTGCCACTGACACGGGAGAAGTCCGCGTTCCTGCGGCCAGCCACTACCAGAACCAGTGAGGAGAGACAAAGATCGAGCCTTTACGGGCCCTTTATTCAGATGGTGGGGATCTGAGAAGACGGCAGGTTGTGTGCCCTACAAGGACCCTCTCACCTCTCACCTCAAGCTGACCTTTTTTATAAAGAGAAGTAGGTGAAGTGTTTGGAATTCAGGAGAAAGGAGGTTAATCAGATAAAAGCTGCAGTCCAGCGATTTCCCAAGCATCCCCAATGCTCTCTCCCTGGAGCACAGCGGCTCAGACACGGTCTTGGAAGCTTGCAGTCCCCCTGGGGCACAAAGGTCCAACTGCTTGAGGGTCTCCTGGAGTCAGGGCAGGTCCAGTCATCCATTCCGGTCCCGGGACAATAGTTTTCTACGTGCATCAATTACCAAGCCTATTAACTATACCTCTAAAGTTAAAAACTTTAACTTCTTGAGTTTCCCATCATTATTTCCAGTTGGGGCTTTGCAAGGGCTGGGGGGGCAGTGTCAGGAGTGGCTTACAGAGGAGGGGTTACTCCTGCCAGGTCTGAAGACCCACAGGGTTGTAGGACTTGAGCAAACAGGGACGGGGTGGGGACAGGCCTCACAGGCAGAGGAAAACACATGAGCCAAGGGGAAAGGTATGTCCCGGTTAAAATCCTCTGACAGTCCCCATTGTTCAGAGGGTTGAGTGGAGTTTCTTTGTGAGGCTCAGGTTACCTCTCTCCACCCTACCCGGCCCCGCACCCTCGCCCTCCAGCCCCACCTCATTGCCCTCTGTTCCTGCAGCCAGACAAGCCCTCCTGTTACCGAGCTTGGGACACACCGTCCCGGCTCCAGCGTGACTTTCCAACCCCTGCAGTGGTTCATTCTTTAGGGTCTGTCACCGTAAGTACGTCCGACCCTGCGGAGAATTTTTGTCAAAGTTTATTGGAGCCGAAACTGAGCCGGACTTATGCCGCAAATGCTCCAGAGAATGACAGTTTCGCAGCTTCTTTGGGGGGTTGAAATTAAGGAGGGACCAGAAGGGAGACGACCGGGAGGCCGGAGGAAGCAGGGTGCGGGTTGGATTACAGGAGAGTTAACAAGATTATGAGGGTGGTTTTGCTTATTTCAAAGGTTTGTCCACCTGTGCTCGGGAAAACAATGGACAGGGCTTAAGGCAAAGAAAAACCTTTTACTAAAAAAGTTACGACACCCACAGAGACCCGCCCAGTTAGGAATTTACAATAAGATCACCCTGTGGGGTTATTTTCCATAAACCCCTTTTTTGTCCATGGGTCCCAGTTGGGACTCCCACCAGGCTGTCTAGAGGCCCCCCTTTACCCCTGTCCTAGCACAGTACACCCCATGACAGCCTGGGTATTTGTGGCAGAATAAACAATAGGCCCTGCAGGTAGCTGAGCTGGTTAGAGCACTGTCCCAATACACCAGGGTTGAAGGTTCAATCCCCGGGCAGGGCGCATACAAGAATCAACCACTGAATGCGTAGGTAAGTGGAACAAATTGATCTCTCTTTCTCTCTAAAATCAATTTTTTTAAAAGAATAAATAATAACAGTCATAAAAACCCAAGCCAACCCTAGCGGCTCTGCTTTCAAAGATGGAAGGAGGAGTCAGTCATTCCAGCCAAGGGGAAAATCCCTCGCTATTTGACATTTGCTCAACAAATATTTACTGGGTACCTACCCTTAGGAGGCCCTGTGCTGGGTGTCGGGTTGCAGTTTCGTT